GTCTTGCCTTGACGTGGTGGCTGCTGAAGGTTGGCAATTTCTCAAAATACGACAGTACTGAAGTCTGCTGCAGCGACTGACTCTCCCTTTCCTCAGTGACTTCTCTGCAGCATGTGAGGCTGTTTGACAGCATTTTACCCACAGAACTTCTTTCAAAATTGGAGTCCATTGTCTCAAACTCTGTTGCTGCTTCATCAACTAAGTTTTGGAATATTCTACATCCTTTGTTGCCATTTCAGCAATTTTCACAGCATCTTCACCAGAAATGGATTCCTCCCCAAGAAACCACTGCTGTTGCTTATTCTTCAGATGCAATTTCTCATGAGATTGCTGCAATTCAGTCCCATATTCAGGCTCTAATTCCAGTTCTCTTGATGTCTTCATATCTGCAGTTACTCCCTCCACTGAAGTCTTGACCCCCTCAAAGGCATCCATGAGGGTTGAAAGCAACTTCTTCCAAACTTTGTTAATGTTGGTATTTTGACCTATTCCCATGACTCATGAATGTTCTTAATGATATCTGGAATGGTGAATCCTTTCCAGAAGGTTTTCAGTTTACTTTGCCCAGATCCATCAGAGGAACCACTATCTATGGCAGCTGTAGCCTTACCAAATGTATTTTGTAAATAATAAGACTTGAAAGTTGAAAGTACTCCTTGATTCATGGGCTGCAGAATTGATGTGTCCGCAGTCATGAAAACCATATCGATCTCCTTGTACATCTCCATCAGAGCTCTTGGGTGACCATGTGCCTTGTTAGTGAGCAGGAATATTTTGAAAGAAATCTTTTATTCTGAGCAGTAGGTCTCAGCTATGGACATACATTTTCTTTCTTTCTTTTTTAAATATATTTTTATTGATTTCAGAGAGGAAGGAAGAGGGAGAGAGAAATAGAAACATCAATGATGATAGAGAATCACTGATCAGCTCCCTCCTTGCACGCCTCCTACAGGGGATCGAGCCTGCAACTCAGGCACGTGGCCCTTGGCTGGAATCGAACCTGGGACCCTTCAGTATGCAGGCCAACGCTCTATCCACTGAGCCAAACCAGCTAGGGCCGTGGATGTAAATTTTCAGCAACCATGTTACTTACAACAGGTGTGCTGTCATCCAGGCTTGATGTTCCATGTATACAGCAAAGGCAGAGGACATGTAGCACAATTCTTCAAGACCCTAGGATTTTTATAATAGTAAGTGAGCGCTGTCTTCAACTCAAGTCACCAGCTGCCTGAGCCCCTCAGAAAAACCCCCGGACATGCTGCAGAGGCCATTCCTGAAAGGCAACACCGTGGGCCTGTCCTTCAAAGCTCTGAGCCAGCACGGACTGCTTGGCTCTGGCTATGAAAGCCTAGGTGGCATCTTCTCCCAGGAGAACATGTAAGTTTTCTTAATCAACGATCCTTCCCCAATGTTTCAATTTATCTATAATATGCCTATGACATATATGTGTATGTATTTGTTATTCTTGCTTGGGTATACATTTTCTGTACTTATATATATAAAATAGCTGTTTAGACACCTCAATATGTTTTTTACTGATTTTTTGAGAGAGAGGAAGGGAGAGGGATAGAGAGAAACATCAATGAGAGAAACATTGATCGATCCACTGCCTCCTGTATATGCCCCACGCTGGGGATCGAGCCCACAACCTGGGCATGTGCCCTGACCAGAATCGAACCAAGACCTCTCAGTTGCTGGGTCCATGTTCAACCACTGAGCCACACTGGCAGGACAGATACCTCAACTTAAATATCCTATTATAATGTCACTAGAGGCCCGATGCATGAAAATTCATGCAAGAGTAGGCCTTTCTTCCCCCAGCTGCCAGCACTGGCTTCCCTCCGGCACCGGGACCCAGCTGGCTTCCCTCTGGCCCCAGCTTTGTCAGGAAGGACATCGGAATGATGTCTGGAAGACATCTGGTCTAATTAGCATATTACCCTTTTATTATTATACTAGAAGCCCGTTGCATGAAGATTCGCGCAATAGGCCTTCCTTCCCCTGGCTGCTGGCACCTGTTTTCCTCCAGCACCCAGGACCCAGGGCTTTGGTCCAGCCGCAGCAAAGAAGTCTTCAGTCTTCACTCTGTACCTGTGTATGCAAATTAACTGCCATCTTTGTTGGGTTAAGTTTCATAGTCACTCTGATTGGCTGGTGGGCATAGCAGAGTGACACTAATTTGCATGCTTCTCTTTTATTAGTGTAGATATTTACAAGTCCCAAACTGAACTCATTTCCTTCCCCAAACCTGTTCTTCCTCTTGCATCCCCTGTCGCTATGTCACCACCAGCTAATTACTCACTTGTTCTCCTATATGAGAAACCCAGGAGTCACCCTCTATTCTCTCTCATTCACACCTTCCATCCACTGTCACTAGACTCCACTGATTTCACCTCCCAACTTTCCCTGACCTGTTCCTTCCTGCAATTATTGCAAACACCTCCAAGGAAGCCTCTCTGTGCCAGGTTTAATATTGCCATGCCCTCTCCAAAAATCCACCCTTCCTACTGCTGACAGGGTGATCTTTCAAATATTAAACACAAAACCAAAAACCAACCTGTAAAAGCTTCAAAATGCAATTCATGCACTGCTCCTGTCCCATACCCACCCACACACCTGCTCACTTCACCCCTCTTCCTGCAGAAAACCGCCTGACAGAGTTCTGGAGGGCCTGTCCTGTGGCCCTCATCTGTCCCAGCTGTCCCAGGGTGGGCATCAACCTGCAAAGAATGACAATAAAGGGTTCGATTTGGACGGAGTTGCCTCGAATAATTTTGTTTTTCCTAGGATGGCTAACTGCCTGATAAAGAATCGCCTCCTGTGGGCCCGCCCAGCAGCTGATGAGAAGGTGAGAGCAGCACGCTGGACTCCTGGGTGGGGCGCCGTTCTCCTCGCTGGTACCGCTCAGGGCTCAGGACGGGGCGGGGGAGGCTGTGGGCAGCGCCTGGGGCCCCAGGGCTGTTCCTACTGACTCGCCCTGCGCTCTGCGAGCCTCTCAGCACCTCGGACACCGCTCAGCACCCCTCCCAGCCCCCAGACCTCTCAGGCCTCCTAGCCGGCACTCAG